GTTCTACGAGTGTGAAACTTGAAATAATGGCATGTTAGTACATACTCTGATCAGATACTCTTTGACCACCACGAACAGCTTGTACAGCTTCCTTCAAAGCCTTCTCACTTAGATTCATATTTGTAAATAATTGTTGCCCAAACCTCTTATCCATGGGAAATGCCAACAATAGATGCTCCACAGAGACAAAGGAATCCCCCATTTCTTTCTTATGCTTTCGTGCCTTTTCCAAGAGAGAACCCAGATGAGAACCCACAATGGGCCCACTAGTATCACCTATCACCTGCCAGCAGAAGATATGATAACATATTCAAGGGAACTACTACCAACAGTCTAAAGCACATCCATGTTTAAAGCTCATACCTTTGGTTGCTGAGATATAAAGTTGTTTGTAGATTCCAGAAGTGATGAGTTGTCAACCCCTGCCTTGGTGAATATTCTCCTTGCCAACCCATCCTTCTGCTCCAATAGGGCTTTCATTAGATGCTCAGTTTCCACTACTTGATGTTTACCCTCCCTTGCTGCATCCACAGCACCGACGACTCCCTCCCATGCCATCTCAGTAAACTCTGAATTGCTAATCTGTCAAGTAAATATCATTGTAATCAACAATTCTAATGAAATAAATTAGAGAAAAAGGTCAGCACGAAAAGGATATAGAACAACATCATACATAACGAAAGGAACCATTAAATACAGAAGATGATAAATTTCCCTTTTATACAAAAGAATGTTCTAATGAGCCATATTTGGAGAATCCCACTATCTGGATATTCATGTAACAGGAATAATTTATTTGAGCAGTCCAAATTAAGATGCTGATAACGAGTATAGTGGTCAATCCCAATCACGATTCCCTAACCTCTCAAGCCTTTATATTCATTATCGAGGTTTCTGTTTCCGTTCCTATGTTTATGGGTCCGTGCAGCATTTCCACAATATCGCTATGATAAATTAATGGGACTTGGCCGGCAAGTGTTCTTGCCTCTATCATTAGCTTGGGTAGTTGTCGTTTCTGGTGTTTTAGAGTGTGTTTGGTAGGAATTTTTGGGGGGAAGAATTGATTTTTGAATAGTGATATGATGGGAAATGTGTGGTTGAAAAAGAAGAAAAAATTATTGATGTGATGAAAAATATTATTTTATTGAAGAATGTGTGGTTGAAAATGAGAATTGATTNCTTTTTGTTATTAATATTGGTATCCAATTTCAGGTGTATTTATGTAGTATTATTTTAAATGTTAAAAAATTTAATTATAGTACGGAACCGAACGGAACCGAACCGAACCGAACCGAAATCGAACGGTTCCAAAATTATATTTGGAACCGACGGTTCCATTTACTAAATACCCGAAAATTTCTGGAATCAAAAAAAACCGAACCGAACCGAACCGACCCGCGCCCACCCCTAGATATCGCTATGATAAATTAATGGGACTTGGCCAGCAAGTGTTCTTGCCTCTATCATTAGCTTGGGTAGTTGTCGTTTCTGGTGTTTTTTAGTCACCTTTCAATGGTTCCCTTAATTATGTGCAAGGAATTACCCTATTGAGTAATAGGAAGCAGGCTACTACCCGAAAATGCCCTGACAGTAGGTTCCTTCGATGTTGGAGCTCAAAGTCCTTCCTTACTCGTTCCTAGGAATTTTGTAACATGACCAGTAGTAGACCCCTTCCATCCTTCTCTCCTAGAAGATTGTTACCTTCGTAAAAACAATTTGCATTTGTGCAATGCAGACACATATTTCATTCTCTTAACATTCTGGAACACAGTTTTTACAAGTACAAGTCCATGAATAATCTTTATGCAGTGTTTGGTATCCAAAATGTCATAAACACGTTTACATCCGTGCCAAGACTTCACTAAGAAAGAAAAAGGTCTCGCACAACAACAGTAATAAGATAAATCAAATAAAGAAATTTGAACATCTGAAGCAACTCCAAAACAAGGGCACATCATAGTCAAGAAGTTTATTTAAAATCGGTTAAGGGCACTCTAACAACAACAAACGGTAAGG